GGCAGGAGATTTGTTCCTTCAGCAATCCAGGTTTTAAATGCAAAAATTGCATCTCAAATTTTATATGGAGTTCCAATTTGGATTACATTTGCCAATAATATAGCCTGAGTGCAGGTGAAATTTTTAAGGTCTCTTTTAAGTGTTCCAAGTTGTGTTCCAGATTCTGTTATTCTCTTGGAAACTGGGCAATGACCTTTGAAAACAAAGGGTTGACTAAGCACTATTAAGTTTTGGTTGCAACATATGTTTTTAAAAACCAGGAAGGATTGCTTCAGGAAATCCCAAATGAATCTTTTGTAGATATGTGGTTTAAACAGGTGACCCAAAAGATTAGTCAGGTTGGCATTGTTCTTGATTATTTATTTTCCAGGGACATGACATCAGCATTTCATTGGATTAAACAAAGATTATGGGTTAATTCAGTACAGGAATTAGTGGCTAAAGCCAACGTTTCGTGTTCACCTGTAACTTTTGGAATTAATTACAGATATATTTTTCTGCTCCCTAAATATCTAAATAGTTTATATTTAAGTAAATATAGTCTGTATATTTATCTGGCCTTTTCAAAAGCCAGATTAAATGTGTTGCTATCAAATATGCTGTATGGTAGATTTCAAAAAATCCCCATCTCTCAAAAATTTTGTCTCTGTAATGGAATTGATATTGAAATTGTCGATCATATTTATTGTATTGTGAATTCCATAAGAGTCTTTGGCAGGAAGTTATCTGGCCTATTTTAAATCAAAACCAGGAAGAGATACTTCTTCTGAGTATGCTAAAATTTTACTTGTAAATCCTAAAATTACACAGGCAACAGCCAGATTTTTAACTATGGCTATAAAAACAAGGTTTTTAGTAACATATCAATGAGTTGGGGTTTTAAGTGTATTATGTAATGTTTATTTCATATTTTATTTGTTTTATCTAATGCCAAATTTTAGATTATATTTGTAACTTGCCATTTGGGACTTTTGTCTGTAAATAAATTAAAATAATAATGTAAAAAATCTTTGTTATGGGTTTTGAATCTATTATTTCAAAGATTTGAATTTTATCAAAATAAAATGTGAATAAGAGCTAGTTTAGCAGGGAAATTATTTAGGCAGCAATCTTATGTAGGCATGCTTAAGTGGATTTGTTCTGAATTTATTTATCATATTTGTAAGGCCATCCAACTCCAAATGACTATGGGTGGTAAACAATAATAGAAAAAGAATATGAGAAAAAAAATAGTCCAGGAAAGAACTAGGGTTTACTGGAGGGAACAATCCACAACTGACTTCATACACACAGCTCTCCCAAGAATTCCTCCACTCATCCAAGCCCAAGGCCTAGGGAAAAAGCCAGATCTTCAAGGTTCGCTTGAAGGAGATCAGAGTAGGATCACTGGGGGGATGCTATACCAGAGGACAGATGCTAAAACAAAGAAGGCACACTTCTGGGGACCCATCAGATGACACTGGTTAATGGTTGGGACTGACGCATGCCAACTTTATCTGAATGGATAGGATAGGCAAAGCCATGGGGGAGAGACAGTTCATCAGAAAACAAGTCCCTATGCTACTGTATATAGGGCTTTACATATAATAACTAGCACCTTGAATTGTACCTAGAAGCTTACTAGCAACCATTGTAGCTTGTGCAGCAGATGTGTTACATGGGCCTGCTGGGGAAGACCCATTCCTGCTCACACCACCACATTCTAGGTCCAGTTGCATCTTCCAAGTGATCTTCAAGGGCAGCCCCATGTAGAGTACATTGCAATAGTGTGACTGTGCAGTGGGCTAGTCCAGGAACTGGTGCAACTGTTGATTGGATGGATCTACTCTTCCTAACCATAGCTCCACCTGCCCTCAAACAGGAGCTGAGATTTCAGGAAAGCCCTCAAGTTGCTTACCGGTCCCAAATAGGGAACTGCAACTCTATCCAGAACTACAGGTGGAAGGTGCCCAGACCCAGGTGACCTTAACACCCATAGCCACTCAATTAGCTAGTGTTGAACTTGAGTCTATTCCTCCCCATCAATATGTCAACATCCTCCAGGCACTGGGACAAGCAGTTGACAACATTATTTGGTTAGCCTAGGGTCAAGATATACAGCTAGGTGTCATCACCCAGCAGCCTCATGTAGATATTAAACAGGAGGGATAAGAGTATCAAGCCCTATAGTACCCCAAAAGTGAGGGGCTTCATCCTATCAACACAGACTAAAACTGGCCACATTCCCAATCCCTGCAGATGGTCCAAAAGGATATTATGATCAGTGGTATCCAAAATCATTGAGAAGTCCAGGGCAGTGACACCACTCCTGTCCCAACTCTTCCAAAGGTTATCAATAAGAATGATCAATGTCATCTCCATACTATGTCCTAGCCTGAAACTTGACTGAAAAGAGTCTAGATCAGTGGTTCTTAAACTGAGGCTAATTACCCACAAGCAGGTAATTTGGGCATATCCTGGGGATAATGGAGCAATTTGTAATTGCTTGTTTGTGAATCAAGGATCCAGTTTGGGGCTGCTGAGACTCTTGTGTAAAACTAGAGAGCTGGGGGGGGGGGCAGTTGTGGGGTAATGACATAATTCAAGACCAGAAAAGGGGTAATTGGGTCAAACAGTTTAAGAATCACTGGTCTAAATAATCCATTTCCTCCAGGGTCCTCAGAACTGCAGCCTGATCATCTTCCTGACAATCTTCCCTTGTAAGGGAGAGTTGAAACTGGACAAAAATTGTCCAGGACTGTTGGGTTGAGTGATGGCTTTTTGAGAAGGGGACATACCACCACCTCCTTCAAGGCAAGTGTTACCACCCTCTCCTTCAGAGAATATGTCACTACCACATATACTCAACTATAAGTTACTTCCCAGGAGATCTTCACCAACCAAGAGAAGCATGCATCTAACCCATGGGTGGCTGAGTTAACAGTCCTGAGGATCATGTCTACTTCCTCAGGAGTCACATAATTGAGCTTGTCCCAAATAAACTAGCAAGGCTGTTCCTCCTTCACCATGACCAGCCCTGCCAGGTCAGAGTCCAACTGCAAATCTGAGTGATTTACTTAATCTACCAGATATGAGTGGACCCATATATGGTCCTGTGGCCATGTAGAAAAGTGTAAACCTATATTTTTATACTTCATGGAGTTTTATCCCATGTTTTATTGCTTTAAAATTTGCAGTGTTCATATTCACCATAAACTAACTATTTCAGGAATGTGGAAGGAACTTAAATTTTTTGCACATTTTTTCATACTTGTCTCTATCCATTGTTCTGTGACTGTCATTGAAGGTACTCCCCCACCACATGCACACTGTTGTTCTTCTTCTCATTTGGTAAAGGGCATGTTGTTCCAATCTAACTGAGATTACTTAATTAAGATTATATGTTGCCAAGAAGCTAATTAGATTTGGCTATGTGATGACAACAGTGTCTATAAACGAAATCTTGTACATACTATGTAGAGTAAAAGAAATAGGAACACATTCATTTCCCCATTTCACACATAGCCAGGCCAGTTCTTCTTTTGAAAAGCATTGCACAGACATTTCAATGCAATACCAGTTATCTGCATTTATGTGTTTATTAGTTGGAGAGGAAAGTGAATAGAGATACTGCTGAGATATGCATTCCTATTACAACTCAGGATTTATTTTCATTCATGAAGTTCTACTTTGAATTATTCTCATATAACCTAAACTCCAAAGTGACACAGAATCTCTTCCAAGGTTTTTATAACTATATCATCTAACTAATAATAAATGTTTCACATGTGCCCTGTGCTTCTAATCATATAATACCTAACTTCTGAAATAACTTTTGCCATTTAGCCAGCAAAATCTTCATGTCTATTAATGTTAAATGTTTATTTAATGTCCTAATGAAGAGTTCCTGGTTATCTAACAGGAAATTGTGCTTACAATCTAGCCATCACAATGAGGGATATAAAGCAAAGTTTAGTCCAGTAGTTCTCAGTTTCAAAATAGAATAAAATATATACAGATAGACAGAAATCCTTAATGAGAGAATTAGCTGGAATTAAGGTATTTCATTATTTCTAATAATTTTATCAGCAAAAAAAATCTATCAACTAGATATAAGAAATAACATTGCCTCATCTTCATTGAAATCAAAATAAACTCATGGGTTTAAATTGCCTAAGGACATAA